GGCGGGCGGGCGGGCGGGCCATTTGCCGTTCCCAGAAGTTACTTACTTCCGGGTTCGCCGCGAACCGGTTGAAAACCACCCCTGGGGGCCATACTTGTTTGTTTGTTTATTATAAAACTTGCCTGCTACCATAGTCATAAGATTCTCAATCTTTAGTGAATCGAGGAAGAGACGAGACGAGAGCCAGGACTGCAGAACAAAAAGTTTATTGCTAATGAACTATTTACAGGCGACTCAGCACCATCCCTGCTTGACAGCTATTTAAACGAGCTGTCAGAGCAGGAAATAACCAATAGGCGCCCATCAGCTGTCTGACAACTGATGACGCTGTGCCTTAACCAATCAGGGCGCCTCTAGCAGCTAGCAACAGGCGATGCTGTGCCCCAGCCAATCAGGGGGCAGCCTGGCTTGTTGCTAGCTGCCTGGTTGTATGTCGAGGACTTCAGTTCTATAGGAGTCATCAGAGGGGTGAGTCCTGCTCATTGTAGCTCCTCCCTGAAGGGAGTGGAGCTCCGAGCGGTGCCATCTTGGGACGCCCAACTCATCAGGTAAGCTGGGCCATGGGGGCACTGCAACAGTGGAGGAGTCGCCTTGCCGGGAGGCGGCAACTGGCGATGGATCGCTGTTGGTACTTGGAAATAGGGCCAGACCGGTTTGAGTGTGTGACGGGGATGCCGGCCAACAGGGGGCATCCGGATAGGTGGGGCCTGCTCGAAAAAAGGCCCTTTCGCAGGAATCTGGTTTGGGAACGATGGATTGAGGCATACAAGAGGCAGGTGGAAATCCTGCAACATTGGGGTAGGAGAGGCATGTCTGGGGAAAGGCCTCAAACTGGAACTTTTGGACCGGCTGGCAGGCAGCTGTGTCGTTGGCCCCAGGATCAGATAGCATGCCGGTCTCCGCGGGGAGACGCCTCCTTAGCTGATCCACGTGGCGCCTCCACTCGGATCCATCGGCCAGTCTGACCCTGTAAGAACAGGGGCCGGTTATGGACAGAATAGAGGCAGCCACCCATCTAGAGTCCCCAGAAAAGGAATGGGCCCAGACCAAATCCCCCAGGAGGAATAGAACAGGTGGAGCCTATCCAGGGGGGTCCGCAGGCACCGACCCATCAACAGCTCCACGGGGCTTTTGTTGGTTGTTGGGCAGGGGGTGGAATGTTGGCTTAACAGGTAAGCCGCCACCCTCGCCTGCCAATTGCCCCAGTCCATCCGGCCAAGAGCCTCCTTGGCCGAGCGGACCACGCACTCCGCCAGGCCATTGCAGGCCGGATGGTACGGGGTGGTGGGCGCATGCCGGATACCCTGCAAGGCCAGGAACTCCTGAAAAGTGGTGGAAGCGAATTGGGGCCCGTTGTCCGAGACTACCACGTCTGGCAACCCGTGGGTTGTGAACAACCGGCGCGGGGCCCTGATCATACTCTCAGCGGAGGTGGAGGTCATAAGGACCAGCTCCACCCAGCGAGAGTAGGCATCCACCACAATCAGGAATGTCTGGCCATGGAAGGGGCCGGCAAAATCGATGTGTATGCGCAACCATGGGTCTCTTGGAAGCTCCCACTCATGAGTAGGCACTGCCAGGGGGTTGGGACAGGAGAGTTGGCAGGTGGAACAGCGGCCAAACTAGGCTGCTATCTCTGAATCCAGCAATGGCCACCAGACATAGCTGCGCGCCAACGCCTTCATGTGCGCTATGCCCGGGTGATCCTTGTGGAGCAAGACAGGACCTGGGAGCACAGAACGGGAGGAATCATCACCCGATCCCCCCAAATCAGACACCCACCATGTAGGGACAATTCGGCTTGATGGGCCTTAAAAGGCCGGAAGCTGTCAGCCACGTTTCCCAGAGGCCACCGCGGAGGACCCAGGAGAAAACCTGAGCCAAGACTAGGTCGGCCTTAGTGTGGGCTGCTACATCCGTGGCAGAGAGGGGAAGGCCTGAGGAGGCAATTAAAAACACAGAAAGAGAAGGCACTGGGGCCGGGTCAGAGTCTGGCAAGGGGCAGCGGCTAAGGGCATTGGCATGCCCTAGCTGCTTGCCCAGACGGTAGAGCAGCCTATAAGAATACACCGCCAAGAACTCCATCCAGCGTGTCATTCTGGGGGAGAGGATGGGAGGGGTCGGCTTGTCGCCTGCCAGAAGCCCAAGGAGAGGCTTATGGTCAGTGACAAGGGTGAAGTGCCGACCATACAGATAGTCATGGAATTTCTTAATCCCAGACACTGCAGCCAGAGCCTCCTTGTCTATCTGGATGTAATTGCGCTCCGCAGTGGAGAGTGTCCGGGAGTAGAAAGCCACGGGGGTCTCCGAGCCATTTGGGAGGACATGGCTCAGGACCGCCCCCAGACCATAGGGGGAGGCATCACAGGCCAATGTCAGCGGCAGCTTGTCACTGTACTGTACTAAGACAGCCGCTGATGTAAGCGTGTCTTTGACAGCCGCGAACACATGCGTTTCACGGCTGCCCCAGCGCCAGGCCGCAGACCAGTAGAGCAACCGGTGCAGCGGCTCGACTAGTGACGCCTTGGGTGGCACGAAAGGGGCGTAAAAATTGAGAAGCCCCAGGAATGCCTGCAACTCCGCCTTGGAGGAGGGAGTGGGGGCGTTCCTGATGGCGGCAACCTTAGAAGGTGTAGGGTGGATTCCTTGGGCGTCAATCAAGAAGCCCAAGAACTCCACTCTAGGCACAGCAAACGAACACTTGCTGCACTTCAATTTTAAACCCACGCCCCCAAAACGAAGGAGAACCTTCCTGAGCATTTCGATGAGTTCTGAGCTGCTGGAAGCAGCGATCAGAACATCATCGAAATACGGAACCACACCAGGGAGCCCATGGAGCAGACGCTCTATGAGGCTCTGGAAGATCCCCGGGGGCACGGAAATGCCGAATTGGAGGCGGCGACAACGAAAAGACCCACGATGGGTGATGATGGTTTGGGTAGCTGCCGCATCGTCATCCACCGGGAGCTGTTGGAAGGCCTGCACCATATCCAGTTTCGCAAAGGTGCAGCCCCGTCCCAAGGAATGGAGCAGGTGCTGCACAACAGGGACTGGATAGGGGTTTGCCTGGAAGGCAAGGTTGATGGTTGACTTGTAGTCGGCGCAGATCCTGACCGACCCATCGTGCTTGACAGGGACCACAATTGGGGTCTCCCATCGCGAATGGTCGACGGGTTCCAGGACGCCCTGCGCCAACAGCTTATCAAGCTCAGCATCAACCTTGGCCCTCAAGGCAAAAGGCACCCTGCGAGCCTTCAGCCGAATTGGAGCAACCTGGGGGTCAAGGTTAAGGGAGATGGGGGTGCCCTTGTAAGAGCCCAGCTGGCCATCGAAAATGTTTGCGAATTCCGCAAAGACGTTTTCCAAAGAGCGGGAAGAGGCACCCACCCGATGAATCCCCCAATCGACAACCCCAGGGGAGGGAACCAATCCAAACCTAACAGGGCAGGCAGGCGACCATGAAAGTCCCCATAGTCAACCCAAATGGGGAAGGAACCCAGGGTGGGAATAAGAGTCCCCTGGTAGTCTCTCAGGGAGATGTCCACCAGCTGCAGCTAGTCGTGGGTGACGCGGGGACACAGGCAGGAGAAGGTGGACCAGGATTGCAGGGAACGGGAGGAGCCAGAGTCCACCTCCATGCGGCAGGGCTGACCTTCCAGCTGGAGGGCGGCAGAGATCTTCCTCGCACCAGCGGATGCCTGGCTGAGAGTCTCCCCGGCGAAGTCAGGCTGGTTGATGGCGTAGCAGTCTTCAGCCCGCCTCGTGGGCCACGGGGGCTGGCGGCGCGGCTGTGGTTGAGTCGTGGCAGGCTGCTGGAGGAAGAAAGGCACAGGCAGCAAGGCACGGCAGACCTGGGCGATGTGGCCCTTCTTGCCACAACAACAGCAGACGGTGCCCTTGAAGGGGCAAGCAGAGCAGGCGTGTCTGCCACCGCAGCCCACATACACAGACGAGGCAGGGACAGCCAGCTGAGGGAGAGGTTGCCGAGGTGGAGCGCGGAGTTGGGCAACCTGCTCATAGCCAGGGTCTTCCAGCGGCACCAGCTCATCTATGAGGCACGCTTGAGCCGGTGGAGGACACGCGGGAGGCGGAGGTGGGGGAGGTGGTAGAGGTTGAGGCTGATGGAGAGGCTGCAGGCACTGCATGTCGGCCGTGGACTGCTCCGAGAGCTCGGCTACTCTGGCTTCGTCCACGGCCTGCTGCAAGGTGATCTCGGGGTGAGACAGGAGGCAGCGGTGAAGACGAATGTCTTTGACCCCGCAGACAAATTGTTCTACGAGGTTGTCTTCTAAGTCCCTGAAATCGCATTGGATTGCCGTTACGGGTAGGGATTGTAGAAACTGGCTAATGGATTCCGCCGGTTTCTGGACGCATTGGCAGAACGCGTAATGGCGGGCAATGCGAGATGGTGTGGGCGCATAATGATTATTTAGCTTCGCCATCAGCGTCTCCCAGCTTAGCTGATAAACTGGCTGCGGGGAGGCCAGGGCTCTTGCAGAGGCGAACATAGCAGGCCCGCAGCAGCTAAGGAAGAAGCTGCACTTCTCCTCCTGATGTTGGTTATGATTCTTGGAGGCTATGAGATAGCACTCAAAGCGCTCGAGGAATCCTTCCCACGACTCGCCGGCGGTCCCATATGGAGCGAATGGTGGCAAGGCGGCTGCCATAATTAGCTCTTGAGGTGAATCTCTCGGTTAGCAGAGAGAGAACGGGGAAAAAAAGTGAGCCACACCGGCAGTTGCTTCGCGGTTTGAGTGGCTACGCGGCTGATTTTCCTTTCGTTCAGTCCTAGGCGCTGCTTATTGGAATCGCCGGAATCCCACCCTCGTCGCCAGTTTAGTGAATTGAGGAAGAGACAAGACGAGAGCCAGGACTGCAGAACAAAAGGTTTATTGCAAAAGAACTATTTACAGGCGACTCAGCACCATCCCTGCTTGACAGCTATTTAAACCAGCTGTCAGAGCAGGGATAACCAATAGGCGCCCATCAGCTGTCTGGCAACTGATGACGCTGTGCCTTAACCAATCAGGGCGCCTAGCAACTAGCAGCTAGCAACAGGCGATGCTGCGCCCCAGCCAATCAGGGCGCAGCCTGGCTTGTTGCTAGCTGCCTGGTCGTATGTCGAGGACTTTCTGAGTCCTCAACACAATCCACTTAAATAAATAAAATGACACCATGCAAGCAAAACAAATTCCTAACATCATAGGCAAAATGCCATTATACTGTATTTTTTTTCTCACCAAATGCTGTACAGAAGAGGTCTAAAATTCTTACACAACACAATTCTCTGATCTTAAGAATCATGCCCTTTATGAGTATGGAGGCTACTCTAGCAAAATTCATTAAGCTTCTCCCCTTTCCCAGCCCCACTCCTATGCCCACCAATTTCCTGGAGTAGAGATATCTGGAGTCTCATCTTCCGCTAGTGGGAGAGAGAGAAAAGTAGAGTAGATTGCACTGCATAGCACCATCCTAATTTTTTCGATACACACACTTGGATGGGCAGCAAAATGTCTTCAAGGAGGAAAAAAGTCCAGGTGCCTTTTGAAAAAGCACTTTTGAGACACACACTTTTAGTGGTTTTTTTCCAGCATCAATAATAAAAGGCATAAAATGTCTGTAATGTAAGTCAGAGAAAAAACAACAACGGTAGGTTTCAACTCGTCTATAGGCCAAAGTTTCTTTCATGGCCTAAGCCAAATAGACACTTGACAGTTGACATTTGACAGATTGGAACATTTACTTTATTTACTTCTGTACCTGCAGACTGTACAGAAAATTATTTCCTATTATTTCTAGAAATGTCAATCTATCTTGGCTGGGGAATTTCTGGGAAATGAAGTCCACACTTCTTAAGGTTGCTGTGGTTGAGAGACACTGGCATAGGGTATAATATATAATTAGAAATAAAAAAACAATGTAAGTATAATGTATATTATAGTATATAAGAGTGGGTCATCCTATTCTCCAAAGCACCTGAAGGCAAGACAAGAAGCAAGGGATGGAAACTAATCAAGGAGAGAACCAACCTAGAACTTTCCTGGCAATCAGAACAATTTATTGACAATGGGAACAATTAACCAGTGGAAAGGCTTGCCTCCAGAAGTTTTGTCTGCTCCAGTGAAGATTCTTTAGAAGAGATTGGACAGCCATTTATCTGAAATGATATAGGGTCTCCTGCTTGAGCAGGGGTTGGACTTGAAGACCTCCAAGGTCCCTTCGAACTCTGTTATTTTGTTATATTCCATACATTAAACTTTGCTGAAGATGACTCACGTGAAAGGAGGTGTCTCCCCAAAAATGGAGTGATTCATGATCTGCTATCCATGACTTAATATTATGTGTCATTGTCTTTGGATGCCAAATCCCTTGTTACATGCCCTTGAGTAGAAGGTCAGTACAGAAATATCCAAATGCAGAAAAAGTAGTATTTCAATTGAGAAAAATAATCTAGCTCTGGTTTATTTTTTCCTCTTCACAATTTCTGTCTTGACAAGTTGCTCTAGTGCTTTTCACATCTGATTAAATTAGTCACATTGCATTATGTCCTATCAAATTTGACATGATGCAATGGAATGTGAATAGTGCATATAAAGATGTACTGGCAGCAGATAACAGCTGCCTGTTCCCCATTGGTAGTATTGCTAAGAGCAGATAAGAGGCAAATTTAATATCTGATTTTGATATCTGATTCTTGTTTTTATGTGTGTTTATTGAGTCTTTGAAATAAATGAATTGTAATTTTGGATTATAATTGCAATACTTTTCCTCCAAGCATTACATAAAAACACAGCATGAATGATCAATATTTTAAGGATTGATAATGCTAATAAAACAAACGGAGAGATTGCAGGAGCTCTGCACAACCCACCTGTGTCATAGTAATAATTGCAACAATCTTAGATTTTCTGAAGATTTCAGCTTTCATTAATGAGAACTGTTTTTATGTTTTGTGACAGCCAATTAAACTAAACTGGCTATTTGTGTATCAGAAATCAAAGAGCACAATTATTACATAATATTTTAACTGAATTCAACTGAGGAAGAACTTGATTTTCAAAGACTTTATTAAAGATGCATTATATGCTTCAATAAGTGGGAAGATACTGATGCCCTTGGCTAATCTCTGAAAGCTAAGGAAGAATCATAGCTGATGTTAGGAACAATTGGGTATTCCAGAGGTGTTGGCTAGATGAGAAAGTTGAAAGAACATCTTGGAAGAAAAGACAAACTATTCATAGTATTCTCCTAGCAATAGAAGTCGAATCTAGGATATTTTTAAAAACTAGTAGAACCTGATCAATTCTGTCTAAGATCAGAAATTAGCAAAAACAGATCTGTCTGAAAGGTCACTAAAAATACTATTGCTGGAGGCTAAATTGGGATATCAGAAAGCATTCCAAAAGACAACTGTGACAAATCATTTTAGACTGCTGCCAATATGAGTACATAAGATAAAAGTTCCCCTCGCACATATGTGTTAGTCATTCCCGACTCTAGGGGGCGGTGTTCATCTCCGTTTGAAAGCCAAAGAGCCAGCGCTGTCCGAAGACATTTCCATGATCATGTGGCCAGCATGACTAAATGCCGAAGGTGCACGGAACACTGTTACATACCCACCAAAAGTGTTTCCTATTTTTCTACTTGCATTTTTACATGCTTTCGAACTGCTAGGTTGGCAGAAGCTGGGACAAGTAAGAGGAGCTCACTCCATTATGCAGCGTTAGAGATTTGAACTGCCGAACCGCCGACCTTTCTGATCAACAAGCTCAGCATCTTAGCCACTGAGCCACCGCGTCCCTCAAGATTACCCCCTCCCCCGTAACAAAAATTCAAATAAAAATTCATAGAAAAACATCATGACACCACTGTGCTGTTAGGAAATTATGGGATTTGCAGCCATCCACCTGGAAAGCACCAGCATGGAGGTTGCTGTTTTACGTCGTATCGAAGCAGGAATGGGCAACCTGTGGGATCCAGATGTTACTAAAAATACCGGTAATTCCTAGGAACCTTCAGCACTGGCTAGCCTTCCTAGAACATCTGGTTATGAAAGTTCAACAAGATCTGAACTGTGATGGATTATCCACTCCATTTTAGCAGATATTATGCAAATTGGCATCTTCATACCTTTTTGTTCTGATTCACTGCAAACTCATCATGGAGAATTTCTTTTTAAGATTGCCTCTAATGTTTCAAGTTTGCCACATTTTTTATAGTGAAGGCCTTCATTTACCTTGGCTGCCTCTGAGACATTGTGATCATTCTCCTTACCCTGAGATGTAAGCAACCTTCAGACTTGAGAAGAATTCATTGTATATCTATGGGCCAGATTTAGCTCACTGTTGCATACTCAAGCGATTGCTGCTAAAACATTAGAGCTTTCCCTGCCATTTTCCCCAATGTAGGGCAATATTAACTTGCTTTCCAGAAGACTGGATGGCAATTAAACCCATGCATTTGCCCAGCTATGCTGCCAATGAACTGTCGCATTCTCAGTTGCACTTCTGACTGATGCAGCTCCTGAGACAGAGCCATGAGTCAGGAACTAAAACTGTCTGTGATCTTCTGAATTTGATGTGAGGGCTGGTTAGGTCTCCTGTGTATATTGAGGAAGCTCAATGACTTGAATAAATACAAGTAAATTGTATTTCTAATTAGATCATACAGCACTTAGCATTTCTCTCCTTCTCTCCATTATCTGAACATCAATGGGGCCAGAAATATTCAAGAAGGCAAAAGGCATCACTCCATTTATTTTTGACATCCGTAATGGTTTTTATATAATTTTTATTAAAACTATTAAACAAGAAGATAAATCTAATATAAAGTAATATAAAGTAGGGAAGAGAAAAGAGAAAGCAAAAAGTTCAAGAAAAGAACAAAGTTGAAGGAAAATAGAAAACAAAGAAAAATATATAGATTAGTAGCTTCCTATATTCAGTACAGTAATTAAAAGTACAATTATATTTTAACCTGACTCTATAAAGTTGCATCCTATTACTCTTCTTCCTATAAACTATCCTGTCTAATCATCAAAACCATAATTCTCTTTTTTTTAAAAAAAAAAATTCACACAGAAAGTCCATATGATGCTTCCAGGCACCAATAACTGTAAATAATAATGTTGTTTTTCTAATCAAAGAGGTTTATTTATCCATTTTGGCAAAATCTGTCCATTTCACCAATCATTTCTTCATTGTGGCTAATGTTGAATCTTTCCATTTCTGTGCATATGGTAATCTTGCCACAGAAATCATTTATTGAAATAATCTTCCATTCTTTTCTCTCTATCCATTAATCCTAAAAGGATGTATTATATTTCAATCCAAAAACTTTTAGCTTTTTTTACATCTCCACTAAGCATGATAAAATGTCCTTTCATATTCTTCACATATACGTACAACACATTTGAAACACATTCATACATACATTCTACATAATTTCTCAGGCATCATGTACCAGCAATACATCATTTCATAAAAATGCTCTTTGCAATCATAACACAATATAAATTATAACTCTTTTCACCACACATTTAAGCATCTGCTTAAAAGTTACAAAAGTGTTCTTGAACAAGAGTGTGATCTAAATTTCTTCTTTTTTAATGTTAATAAAATCATTCTAATTAAAAAATACAATCATCTGATGGTCAGCATTATTAAAG